CTACTCAATTAATCCCATCAGGTGATCAATTTACTGATTAGGTTAATACTCTCATAACTCAATCATTTTTTTCTCTGAACCTTCTTGCATTATTTTCATGTGAGCTTTTGGAGGATACCACATCCAAACCATAACAACTAGTCCTTATGCATTTTAAAGCAGTGAATTATATCAGATGACAGAAGTCTTATACATTTTATATTTATTTTAAAAAATCTAAGATTACAAGGGCGCATTTATGTCACTATAAATACATAATACATATTTTGTTTTATATTGTATACATTCAGAAATATAAATAATCATACACGATCACTTTTTGACTACTTATTCTATATTTCAATGTGATTTGAATTTTTTTTATCCAAAAATGAAGAACATAGGATTGCTTGTCTTTTGTTTCACATGCTGGGTTTTATAATATATAGGTAGAACTGAATTTACATGAGTAGTGCCAAAGAGTAGCATCTTGATATGCCTCTGCAGGGGTATGGTTTCATGATTCCACTTTTATGTGCTGTTCTATGGAGTAGTCTGTTACCTGGGAGATTTCACTCCTAAATTTTGGTCACTGGGCTTCGCATGTTCACAAGTTTGGAATATCAGAATGTTGACTTTAAAATTATAATAATTGTGTGTTACTTAAGTATCTGAGAAGGTAAACCAATATGTGTTTCATAAGCCCTTCCATGAGCTTGGATTATTTGGACTCTTGGGTAACTTGATGCTGGGTGGAGATCTATGGTGACAGATGGATAACCCCCTGAATTCTTTACCTATATTCTTTCCTGGGAAATAACTATAGGGGGACAAAGGGATGGGGCTATTGTCTATAAGCTCCACAGAGGAAAGAAGTATATAGGAAATTGTGCTGTGAGCTAAGCAACCTTAGAGGTGCTTTGCAACAGTAATCATCTTTGAAAATGTCTATATATTTAAGGTGGCTAGGAATTTAGAAATGATCTATGTGTGGAAGGCAATTGCGATGTGACTATTTATACACCAGTCACCGTATGTCTTTGTAAGAGGAAAGCACTACAGGAACAAGGTGACTCATGTATTTTGGACTTCCTCCTTTCTTGAAGACACAGGTATTAGGAAGGCCATCATACTGGCTCAAATAGAACAGTCTATGGGCCTCATTTGCAAGGGCCATTAAAGGAGAAAGGGGAGAAAAGCTTATGAAGAGTAAACGAATAAACTCTGTAAACTGAGCTAATCTGCTTTTGTCAGGCCCTCCAAAGACCTAGAGGGTGATAACTGGACTGAAATAAATATTTGGAAGGAACTGAAAGCTATATCTGCAAGGCCAATCACAGACAAAAAGCAGAGTTTTAGGATCCCCATTCTGATGGCTCCTGTCATGCTATTGTGTTGGATATAAGCATGCTGTTAATACGTTGAATCAATTGAATGGATTATACTCACAGCCCCATCATCATTACAAATGGATTATATCCGGAGCTAAATCATTTAGATGATTTAGATAATAAGATTTGGGAAATTTGAGCTAATGAGATTTAGATGAGATTTTCGGATTTTGAGTTGATGCTATAATGAGATGAGGTCTTTAGAGATCTTGGAAGGAATGAATATATTTTTCATATGAGAGGGATGTGGATTATGTGGCAGACAGTGGACAATGATTGTAGCATTTTGGCTTCCACAACCAGTTGTCATCTGGCTCCGTCAGCTGTGTTACCTTACATGGCAAAAGGACTTTGTGATGTGATGCAAGTTAATATATCAGGTGACTTTAAGGTAGGAAGAGAATTCTAGATTATCTGCATGGACACAACTAAAAACATGAGCTCTTAAAAGCAGAAGAGGAGAGCAAGTGGGGAAGTCATAATGATTCAGAGTGTGAAGACTTGATGTTCCATTGCTGACTTTGATGATGGAAGAGATCAGGAACCAGGGAATTCAGGAAGCCTCTAGAAGTGGGAATTAATCCTGGACACCATCCAGCAATGAGAGAGAACTTCAGTCCTGCAACCCTAAGGAGATGGATTCTGCCAACAACCTGAATAAGCTTAGAAGTGAATCTTTCCCATGGCCCTCCATAAGGGTTCACCAGTATGACACCTTGATTTGGGTCTTATGAGACCCTAAACAGAGTACTCAGGAGAGCCTAGTCCAGAATTTTGACCTGAAGAACTCTTAAGGAAATTAATGGATGTTGTTTTAAGTTGCCAAGTTTATAGTGATTTGTTGTGGCAGGGATAAAAAAAAATTAATAAAGCTACCATTGGTGTTCAGTCACACTATGAACAGAATGAAGATCTGGATGAATCCAATGAGTGCTTGGGCCTCGCTGTCTGACACCACTTCTGGCAGAGGAGGAGAATGGGCAACCCAGGAATTGGAGCAGTGTATCAAGGATCCTCCCACTGTTGGAGTCTTGGGATATTTTGAGTATTGCTAGCCTTTCTTGAGGGTGGCCTTTCATGTTTATCTGAAAGCAACTAGCAGACACAACTTCCTGAAGGACCAGAGCTCTTACACTTTCTCTCTGACGCTTTCCCAATTCTTTATTCTTCCTTCTGTTTCTTGATGTAGTTGGAGTCCTCACTCTTGGTCCTCCCTGAAGGCATACCAGCTCCTGTGAATGCACACAGACAATCAACCATCCTAGCTCTTTTTAATAGCCAATGGGGAATTGCTGAATATTGTTGTCTGCAGGCTGTTCCTGACTTTCCTATGACCTGGCTTCCACTGGAAGTGTTCAAGCTCTAGGTCTAAGCTAAAACATCTCCAGCTGCCCCTTGTTTGTGAATCTGTTTGTTTTTTTTCTTGGAATAGCATAGATGTGGACATAGGAAAAGAATCCAGCTGTCAAGGCCATCAGGGTGTGTGTCATAGCATAATATGCAAATTTCTTGTCCTGGGACTAAGAGGATTCCCTTGAACCTTTTCTAACCTCACACCCAAAGCATAAGTGCAAATCTCCTACCTGTTTACCTTATGTCTCTAACACCTCTCTGAATGTGAGGTGTCTTGATGGATCTCTATTTTTAAATTCTTATTTCATGTTATTTAGTGACTTCACTACATACATCTGAGGTGACTGTTTTCCCCAAGTGTGTGCATGAAATCACCAAAAACTCCACTTAGTTCTTAATTTTGTAATCATTTTGGGAGATCTTAAAGATAGAAATAGTCTGTCTTTTGAGAGGAAAAAGAAACTATTCTTTAAAAAGAAATATTTTTTTTCAGTTTTTCAGCTTCTGGAAAAACCTCATTGCAATATAAATATTTTCAAACCATAAATTATAAAATGAATAAATGTTAATAGTTGACAGATGATTCACTTAATAGCTATGGGCATCAATGCCCTGAAAAAGTTCTGTGCCAGCATTGTGGCTGCTGCTTTCCCTTGCCTGTAGCTTGCTTAATAGCTGGGCCTGAGTTGTTGTTGTTGTTTCTTTTTTAATTAGGGTCTATGTACTCATGATAAATTGCACAGTAAAAAGTTTCTCATTTTACCTCTGGTTTCATAAAGCGAGACTGTTAATGTAAAGGTACATGCAAATGGTACCCAGGTAAATCTGATTCAAAAATAGATAAAAAATGGCATGTTGTTCAATAGCCACATTTACCTGCACTAGACCTAAAATGTGAAAATGGTTTATTCTCAGGCCAAGCATGGGAAATCAGGATGCAGATCAATTAATGCCATTTTCATCTTCTTTTTGTTTAATGTATAAATGAGTCTTCATTTCATTTTGTTTCTAGGGTTAGAGAACTTAGAACAGAGTATAGAAAAGCTTTGATATACAGAAACTGTATATCAATGAAGACAGCTCTCCAGGACCAATCTATGAAAGTTTGTAACTCTCAACTTGTTTTCCGTGTCATGTGCTACCATGATGATACAATAATCATGAAAATAATCTAAGAATCATTTGTCTAGGATTATTTCTTGAGGTCCTGGGCATGTTGTTTGGTCTTGGAGAGTGAACTCTGTTACTCTTCAGGGTGATGGCTGGGGATTGGCATTCACAAACACGGTTAGTTTCAGCTTGTCATCCTGCTACCTATCGAGAAATGACTGGGAGAAAGACCTAGACTAAGAAGGAAATGATGGATGTCGTGAATAAAATAGTAGAAGGCCGAATATGGATAGTAGTTTCTTTTAGAATGTCTTAAAACTTTATTGGAGAAAAACATTTGAGAAAATTATAGTTAATTTGGGGATTTTATAATCCCTTGAATTCACATGAAAATTCTGATACACATTTTTGTTTCATCTTTTGGGGTCTTCAAACTTTATAGCATACAGAGGCAAAATCCAAATTAAAATCATTTTTAGTCAGGGCCTTTGCTGTAATAAGCCAAGTCCATTTAGTAGACCATCTGTGTGTGTGTGTGTGTGTGTGTGTGTGTATTCTCCATCAAAACAAATAATTTTCCAAGGCTTGTGACAAGCAAGAACAGAGGGTAGTGCAGAAATTTTATAAAAGCAAACTCTCCATTAATTTTTATCTAAATTCTCCATATTTGATTACATTTGGAAGTTGTGTATATAGTTTATGGAAGCGATGTCCTGTAGAAGTCAATGAAAATAATCACCTCTTTACCTCCTATCATCTTTCCCTATCATCTCTGCCCCGAATTCCTGCCAACCTGCTATTTGGAAGAGTCCAGAGTGTCGCAAGCTTTAATATTCATGAGACTCACCACCATTCCTAGTCTCTGCATGCAGACATTCTAATTTAGTAGGTTTAGGTAGGAACTAATGATTTGCATTTATAACAAACTGCCAATTTGCTCTGATGTTGCCAGTTTGGAGCTAAACTTTTGTAGCACTGGGCCACTATATTTCCCTGAAGCCTAGGGAAAGATGATTAAAAAAACAAAAACAAAAACAAACAAACAAACAAAAAAACCCAAAACTGCTCAAGGATCTTTTGGCCCTATAGATTATAGGTAGGTCGGGGGGTAAAACTGCTAATCTCTAATGAGGTGCCTATAACAAAACTACCTCTCCTCTTTCACAGAGGCAAATCCAGAGAAATTCAATAGTCGTTTTCGAAATAAAATGTTTTATGCAGGGGTAAGTACATATTTCATTTTATAATCATTATATATTATTTAATATTAATTCAATGACACTAACTATATTAAAATTATAACATATCTCAGACATTATTATCTTTCTCTATATAATTACTATTTAATGTCTTCATTTAAGAATGAAAGTAATGGTGTGTTTTTTAAGTTTGTTGTCAGAAAGGGAGTTGATATTTATCAACTCTGAATTTTAAAGATGCAAGGCTTCATGCTGTATAAGAGAGGGTGATATTCAGGGAGGCATATGGAAAACATCAAAACCAATGTAAGGAGTGGGGAAATCAGACAGGTAGTTGGGAAACTGTATCAACAGACTGAAAAATGTATAAAGAGTCTTAGATTAGAATGTCATTTTCATATGTACACATTGATGTTTGGATGAGAAACTGACAAATTGACAGAACATGGGAAGAATTTCATGGAAGCAGATATGAAATTAAAGGAAAACCCTTCTTTTCCTCCTCAGGAAAAAGTCATCCAAAATATTAATTAAGAAAGTACAGTTTATTCCACTGCATAGAGGGAATCAAAATAAAAGAGGTAAAGCAGGGCATTCTCAGTGGCAATGCTAAAGATTATTTTAGCATCTAACAGACCAGTAGGACAGTCAGGGAGGACAGCCAAAGTCATCTTCACTTTGACCCTTGGAATTATCCAGTTTTTCACCCTCTTTCTGTAGTCTTAAATTTTACTAGAGAATATAGTTTGAAAAACAAAAAGAAATATTTCAACTTGATAATCATTTTCCTGCTTTACTGTGGATTCAGCAAAAGGAGAACTTGTTATATATTTTTGTATAATTTGGAATCATTGGGAACTGTCTATAATATGAAAGTGGGATATGGAAAAACCATGTAACTAAGTTTTTTGTTTTTCCCCTTCTGATGTATAGGCAGCTTTTTCTGATTTCCTACAGAGAAGTTCTAGAGATCTATCCAAACATGTTAAAGTTGTCGTAAGTATTGAATATGTCAGTTCATTTTTTTTTGCCTGTGAATATGAATGTCACAAGAAACAACTCCTAAATTACAGTGTCTGTGTGGATTAATCTCTTAGACTATGTGTGATTTAGAGATCACTTAGTGTGGTTCACTCAAGCAGTATTTATGAATACTTATCATGTCTTGGGCACTGGCTTAGTTGCTGGAATGAAGATGAATATAAAAAACTAGTTTCATTCCTGAAGAAATTCACAGTCCAGTTATGGAGAAAGCCACTCAAATCACTGGAGCATAATGTAATAAAGTTATTCAACATACGTACAAGATGGTGGTATCACAAGGGGAAAAAAAGTAACCTTGAATATTATGGCATCAGGAAGACCTTCATCAAAGAAATGATGTTATCTGGCTCATGAAGTGTAAACAAAAGCTCACCAAACAAATGTCCTTATTCTAGGACTGTCTGAGAGGACTCCATTTTAGAACAGGGCCTTCCCTGAATTTGTTATTTTGTGCTAACTTACCCATTAGGCTGGTCAGGTTCCTCACCGCTGAATGGAATTTTCATTTTATTTCTTTTTCTCTGCCCCAGGTTTAAGATATCTACTACTTGGAGGAAAAGGAGAGATAAATTTACCTTTTTCTAGGTGCTGCATTTAAAAACAGCTTAAAATTAGTTAAGAAAGACAAAATGTTTCTTATAGGAACCAAGTTAAGTAAATGGATGGATGGATCTTTGTTGTGTGTAGTTGCATACATAAATGAAGAAAAGATAGAAGGAGAAAAATATAGAAATGGGGAAGGATGTGTAGTGACATAGTAAGGCTTGGATTTATCATGGCATAGGTGAAGAATATGTGATCAGAGAAACTGGAAAAAATATATGCATAAAAATAGAGAAAAACATGATATTAAGCTAATAATGATATAGAGGAATACAGAGGAGCATGAGAAGATACAAATGAAAATCTGTAATCATCAGTAAAGCACATATGAGACACGAATCTCCTAAATCAGTTAAATGGGAAATAAATCCCATCACTATGGTATTAACAAACCTTGGCATCACTTGCATGTGTTTTGGCTCTCATATGAGAAGTGTCTGTCAGTGATGGAGAATCTTGATAATTCAAATATTTCTTTCTTAAAACTAGATGGAAGAAATACACAAGTCCATTGTACTATGAAGATCTTTATTTTCATAAAACTATGGTTAATAAAGTTAAGTACCAGCAGCATTATATCAAACTGCCCATTTCTTCTTGTGCCTGCCATCCAGCCAAAAATGACCATCACTACCCTTCCAGTATTTTTTGCATTTAGAGGAACATTGACAGTGCCTGCCAAGAGAGCTAGTGAGTGCTGGGCATAAATTTTCGATCATAGCTGGGCAGTGGACACATTGAATGTCAGTAAACTGCTCAGGAGAGAGGACTGAAACCAATCTCTGCATATTTTCCTAATCACCAGAGTCTCTCTCTCTCTCTCTCTCTCTCTGGCAGTCCTCTTAATGATTGCTTCATACATGGGCAGCTACGTAGCAAGGATTAAAATGAGCTTGCAGAGAGGCCAAAATAGCAGCAAATCACTAGGAAAAATGTAGAATCAGCCAATACATGTAATATTCCAGGTGGAATAGCTTTGTAATCTTATGTACTTTTAGGAGGAGGAAAAAATATTAGAAACAAAGTGTAAGGATTTGGGATTCAGTCTTAGGTTTGCCTTTCCTAGGTATATGACTTTGATTATGTCATTGAACCTTTGAAACACCTTGCTTTTCCTGCCTGTGAAACAGGCATAATAAGATATGTCTCTTAAAAAAACCATATTTGACCACTGTTGTCTGACATAGGATACCTCTGCAGTGATATTGCTGCATGTTTTGACCGTGAGATGGAAAGGATGGAAGGTGAGCTAGAATGATCAGATTTGTACACCATAGACCACCTTCTCTTTGGCACAGAGAGCAGTCAGTGTTTTAGTATAGTCATCTACACACTCTTTTCAAGTCCTTAAAGCGGGAGGCTTTATGTTTGCTTAGTAGTTGAGAGTTCTCTAAAACCACCTTTGATCACCATCTAGAATTTGATTCCTATCTAAATTACATTTGAAAACATTTCATTTATTTAAGTCTATAAGCTTTCTTGGAAGCTATTTTCGAGCATGCTCATGAAAATTAGGCTGTATAAGAACAGCCAGGAAAAGTTCCGGGTGTTTAGACAATAACCTTGACTGTTATCAAAATCATTACTACTTCGTTTAAAACTTTGCCTAAAGAACTCCTCAAAAATTATCAGGGACTTTGGGAATGCTTTACTCCTCTTCCCAAAAGGAAAAATGCGAGGAAATTCTGGGATGAAGCTATGAATAAAGCAAATAGAAAAGCAGACATTGTGACTCTGACCACTGAGGGGTCTATAGCCCTGACTGGAGTTTTTGTCTTTTGATCTTTGTCACGAGTGGGAAATGAGAAAGGCAAATGGAAGGGTCTCCTTTGATTAGTCAGAGGATATTCCTCTTTGGGGAAAGCACTGACAGATCAGGGAAGCACACAGAGGCACTGAGCAAGGCTGGCCTGGGCCTTCGAGACCAGAGTCATGTCAATCAACAGAAAAGCAGTTTCTTCTCAAAAGTCCAGTCCATTTCTGTTACAGATTAAATTTGTAAAAAAGTAATCACTTGTTACTGTTTTGTGTTTTCTTGGTCTAGTATTCCCATACTCATTTCACATTCATGAGAGTTATTAATTATTTCATTCAAAATACTGACTTCCCTGTGGCAAAGATCAGATGGCCTGTTGGAGCTTATCCTAACTTATAATAGATATCTTTTTAAAAACTTGAATATGCATATCTTTAAAAAAGTGTTCAAAATGTTACATTTAACATTTTAAACATAAAAATTATCTCAAAGAAATCAAATAACTTGTTTGAATCAGATGGTTGTGGTAGTTAATGCTACTGCCTTCATTTATAGCTTCATTCCTTTCATTCTGGTAAGACTTTCATTGTTGATTCTCTGCATATAAGTATCTAATAATAAATAACCCAAGGTTAAGAAGGACGATATTTACTGTGATTGTGAAAAAAGACACAGTTTATTTTTTTGTCAAATGTCAGGTTTGTTTTATATTAAATCAAAACGAAACCCAGCTCTGAACTCTGGGTCTAGTTAAGCAATAAAAAGCATAAATTTTCAATCATAGTAACTGGCCATCCAGAATTAGAGACAAGGGGAATAAGATCATGGTGCCTATTGTTGTCAACCCAGTTATCTTGATAATTTTCTTAGACTTGTGACTGCTTCAAACCCTTGCTTTTTCTGTTTTCATTGTTGCAGTGTGATGGAACAGATCTCACCCCAAAGATTCAGGAACTGAAGTTCCAGTGTATAGTATTTTTAAATATACCCAGGTAAGCTCTGTTTATATTATATCCTTGGTTTGACGTAAACTTTGACTTGATGTATACCTGTTTTCATAACAGAGACATTTCAGGTATTACCAATAAAAAATCAGTTATTTTTATGTTTTTATTAGTGTATTACAATCATACATAACAGTGTGGTTCACTGTGATTTATTCCTATATATACATAGCATAATTTGTTTCAATTAATTCTTCATACTGACCCTTTTCTCTCCCTTCCTTCCCCCACCCTCCCTGTCTCCTTTCCTTTCCTCTTCCTCATGTTTATTTACATGTACATGTATATATATATATATATATACATATATACATATATATAGATACATTATAATTATGCATAAACATGGAATTCATGTAGTATATTCATACAAGTATATAGCATAATTTGGTTGATTTTATTCTCTAGCTCTTCCCTGTTCCCTCCTGTCCGCCTTCCCTCCCAATCCCCTACTCTGCTGATCTTTCTTCTATTTTGTGAGATTTGCTTTCATTTATTCCTTTTTTCTCTCTAGCTTCTGCATATGAGAGAAAACAGTTTACTCTCCACTTTCTGACTCTGACGTATTTCACTTAGCTGATGTTCTTCAGTTCCATTCATTTATTAGTAAACGACATAATTTCATTCTTTTTTATGGCTCCATTGTGTGTGTATATACCAAATTTTCTTTATTCATTCATCTATTGACTGACACCTAGGCTAGTTCCAGAACTTGGCCATTGTGAATTTTGCTGCTATAAACATTGGAATGCATGTATGACTATAATGTGCTAATTTGTTCTTCTGGATGAATTCTGAGGAGCAGAATAACCGGGTCATATGGTGGTTCCATTCTTAGTCTTTTGAGGAGTTTCAATACTGATTTCCATAGTGGTTTTTGCAATCCCACCAACAATATATAAGTGTCCCTTTATATATAAATAATATCCATCAAGAATATAAATAATATTCTTGACATTCTAACTGGAGTGTGATGAAATCTCATTGTAGTTTAGATTTGCATTTCTCTGATTGCTAATGATGTTGAACATGTTTTTTTCTTAAAATATTTATTGTCCACTTGCATTTTTTCTTTTGAAAAATGTTACTTTAGTGCATTTGCCTATTTACTGATTGGGTTATTTGTTGTTGTTTTTTTGGTGTTTTTTAAATTTTTTAATATACTCTGTATATTAAACCTTTGTCCGAAGAGCAACTAGCAATGATTTCTTTCCATTCTATATGTATTTTTCACACTCTTATTTCCTTTGCTATACATAGCTTTTTAATTTAATGTCATTCCCCTTGTTGATTCTTGGTTTTATTTCTTCAGCTTCAGCAGTCGTATTAAGGGAGCTGGTGTCTGTGCTTATATGTTGGTGTGCTGACCTTATCTTTTCTTCCATCAGCTGCACAATTTCTGTCTAATTCCTTAGTTTTTCATTCACTTTGTGTTGTCTTTTTGTTCAGGTTGATAGATAGGGGTCTATTTCCCTTCTTGGAAGACTCCAACACTCCACAGGAAAACATCTAGGGCTGATAAATTTGGTAAAATAGAAGGATACAAGAGTAGCATTCAAATTCCATGGCTTTTCTATGTACCAATAATTAACCCCAAAGAAAAGGAATCAGAAAACAATTCCATTCACCATAGCCTAAAAACAGACCCAGGAATAAATCTAACCAAGGAGGTGAAAGATCTGAACAATGAAAGTTATAGAATACTGAAGAAATAAGTTGAAGAAGGCATTAGAAGATGAAAAGGCCTTCCACGATCTTGGATAGGCAGAATTAATATTGTCAAAAATGGCCATATTACCAAAAGTAACCTGTATAATCTGCATCAAAATTCCAATGACATTCTTTACAGACTAGGAAAAAAAAATAGTTCTAAGGTTCATATGGAAGAATAAAAGGCCCAGAATAGACAAAGCAATCCTGAGCAATAATAACAAGGCTAAAGGATCATAGTACCCAAACTCAGATTATACTACAAAGCTATAGTAACAAAACCAGAATGGTACTGGCCAAAAACAGGCATGAGACCCAGGGAATAGATAGTTGAGAAGACACAGAGACAAACCTACATTTGACAAGAGTTATCTCATCTTTGAGAAAAGTGCCAAAAGCATAAGGTGAAGAAAAGATAGATTTTTAAATGAGTGATGCTGGGAAAACTGGATAGCCATTTGTAGAAGAAAATCGGTTATCTTAATGGCTCATGAAAGGTTTTCAGATGATAATTTTATTCTCTTACCTGGTTTATCTAGTGTTCTCTGTGGTAGGTGGTTTTGTGTGTCACATGGCGTTCTTAGTCTAGACTCATCCAGCCCTAACAGACCCCAAACCCCTTTTGATTGGAACATTTTGCTTAGTTCTCAATTACTACCCTCCTATCCCTACTCTGCCTCCTCCAGGAGTGATAGAAGTGAATAAATTTTTGTTCTCAGTTTCCCAAAAGCTATTAGGAAACCATCCAGCCTGATTCATGTGTGGATTTCATTGCCAGGCGATTGCTTTGAAAAAATAGAATCAATTAGAGAAGCATTTTCTAGCCAGGATGTCAATTATCTTTGGTACTATTATATACCTCAGAAGAAAGGAATATTTAAGAGTAACTAGTCTCAAAATAAGCACATTACCTCAGCAACATCAAATATGATTCTTGGCTTCCAAGCCAAGATTTTGGAAGGCATGGATCTCTAACCCTTTGTTACCCACCCACTAACCAACTCAGACACAAAATCTGCAGATAAAGTTTACTGAGACTGAATTTAATTAAAATGAGAGTTCTATGTAAATTTATGTCTGTGAAAACACATCGAAGTCTCCTGATTCTTCTTGGCAGTGCTCTGTATAGTCAGTTGCAGTCTCATTCCAGAGATATCTTTAGCTTAGTTCTGTAGATGGCCTAGATTCTCAGGAAACATTGGCTAGTAGCATTCTGTATTTTTTCTTCTTCTCTTCTCCTTTTTTATCCCTATACTCCTCTTTCTTGGACCTTTTATATTCTCTTTCCTTTACTTTTCTAATTGTTTTCATTTCCCCCTTCCATTCTGATTTTGTCTTTCCCCATTCCCTTTCCTCTACTTTCTTCAGTTGTCTTTTCTTCTCTCATAGGCCTTTCTTATCTTAAAATCACGCATATTGTGGTGAATGCTACCCATCTCCATTCCCTGTCTCTCAAACTAGTATGTGTGTGTCTTCCCTTAACACCAATTCTGAAACCACCTAAAGAGAATTCATAGGAGAACATAGAAACAGACATAATCCTAAAGTGAGAAATGTTGATAAATAATGAGTTAGGGGAAATTTGGATACCACAGGATGCTTTTGTTGCAAAATTATGGCCATTTTCGCAGGATCGTACCTTGGAGATGATAAATTCATTTTCTTTTCATTTGAAAGGTGTATACCAAGAGCAGAAAACTGTTCTTATACTTAATGAGCATTGGTTCTAACTGTAAATAAGTAACTTAGATTTGAGTTAAAATGATGCATAAGTACAATTGCACATATTTATGGAGTTTATGTGAGGTCTTGATATATGTATTCATTACTTTAACTGCCAGTTGATCTCAAATGACAGAATCATGAGCAGAATAGAGTCTATTTATTTCTATTTTCCCCCTTATCCTGCAGATATTGTGCTGGCACAATGCCCTGGGGAAACCCGGGAGACCACCATGACTTTGAGCCTCAGCGTCATGATGATGGCTATATTGAAGTCATTGGATTCACCATGGCCTCTTTGGTGAGCAGTACAACTATTTTGTTGAAACAAAATGCATTTAAATCATAGAGTTTATCAATTTACAGTCCTTATCCAGTATAAAGTTGCTTAGGAAAAACATGAAAAAAGTGAAAACTCATGAACATGTGATTGAATTTCAAAAAAAAAAATTAAATTAGTATCATTTCATACTTTTCTTAATTTTCTACCAGAATAAAAAATTTTCATGCTAATTAAAAAGCAATATCCCACAGAAATATCCCAGCACTGATGTAAAAACCATAGCATTTAGTACTTTTTGGATAACTGAGTACTAGAATATTTAGGCAAAAATTCAATTGGTTATTTGTGTTCAACTTCATCTTGCTTACTTACTTATGCATGAGATGGGCATATCCATTATCTCAAAATATTTACATATAGAAAGACATCATTATCGTGACTTTAGTAAATATTCACTTGCTACAATATTGAGATCACTTGATTTTTTTCAATACTGTTTGCTTGTATTAAATGGTAAATTTGTAATAAAAGTATGTTTTCAAATAGGTTTTATCTATGCATTCCTGTTTGTTCTTAAATGAGGGAACCAATTAAAATTATACAATTATTTTATCTTGTGTAAATCAATCTGTGTTATCAGTTAGAAAAAAACAAATCAAGATTAAAGCCTCTACTTGAAATCTTTGGTTAGTACTTGGTTAATTAAACCTTGTGCACAAGAGCAAGGAGGTTGTACTTCTCATTCAAAATCAAGCAAATGGATCTCTTTTCAATCCTCTTGTGAATTTCAAATGACTTCCTAACAGAATAATCTACAATGGTCATGGCAAGAATCTCCATCACTTGAGTTATGTTCCTTGTTCAACTTGCCATCTCTAGAATGAAATAGGTTGTTATGGTATGAAAGAGTGAGATGGACCTACTTTTTAGGGTTATAGCTCATATGCTGCTGTTTCTCACCAGTGCTTTGCATGGTAATTACAAGGAAGACACATCAAAGAAAAAACTGGATTAAGTTCAGACAGGAGGTATGCAAGGAAGTATTATTGGAGGTGACCAAACTATGCTGGTATATAGGGAGAAAAAAACCCAAACTGTCCGTATATGTTCACTTATTCATTCATTCACTGATCCAGTGGACATTTATTGAATGGTTACCATGTGCCAGAGCTTCCTGGTCCTGGCTGTGAGGTAGAAGGCTGTCAAGAATTGTCTGAGGGATGATGTCCCTTGTGTAACCCTAGGAGAGCATAAGGACTACCAAATACTTTCCTTTTGCCCTTAGGGTCAAAATTTAAATCCTTTCTTGGCCTTTGACGGCAAGCTTTCTCTGATTCTTCAGCTTTCCCCACGTCCATCTTTGCTTTCTAGCCCAAGTAGCTTACCAGTCAAGCAGAGGTTCCAACATCCCCTTGTTCTTCCTCTCCCTTTAAAGTGTTTTTTGACTCTTCACCTTCTACGGCTTCTCAGTCTATATCTGTATTTCTTCATGTGGTCTGTTTGGGGGTTGTTTGTTTACAAATGTATAATGAGTGTCTGAGCAGGGGAGATGGGCAGATAGAAACTGAGTTATTAGAGGAGAGTTGAACAGAGGGACTCTTTATTCATAGTGCACTAAGTTTATAGGAAGCGACAATTCCTCAGCAGAAGGACGAGGGACAAAGAAATGGTCACCCATAATAGAAAGAGAAGTACTTGGAAGGGGCCCCTTGATAGCTGTGATATTGGCAGAGGAAGCTGCCAACTTGTGCCTTCCAGGCAGAGGAGAGCACACATATGGTTTCCTTGTCCTCTGGACCTTCTGCAGGTGGCTCCCTCTGGAGAAGCCTGACCGGGAGCCAGAGGATACAGAGGCCACCAATACAGTCCAAACAGATCGGCTTCATAAGACAGAAAGAAGGGTAGGGAGGGCTGCAGAGGCAGCTGGGAGAAGCCAATGATGGGCATCCATCACTGCAGTTCTGCTTTGCGGGGACTCAGCAGAGAGCCAGATACCTGTAGCTGGCAATGTGGAAATGTGATCAGTGGAATGAATTTTACCAGGAGGAGAATGGAACTTGGCATTCTGGAAAAAGGGAAATTTACAAACACTTGCAAGTATAAGAAATTATATCCTGTGTGGGAACTAGAAGTAAGTAGCTTTATGTAGTATAAAGGTAGGGAGAAAGTGAGAGTGGGTCAGATGGTGCTGGAGAAGTACAAGGGCCAGATCCTAGGGTGCATAAAGAATTTACCAAGGAGTTTTTACTTTATTAAGTGTAACTGGGAGTTAATAAACTTTTTTAAAATATATTTTTTTAATGGGAAGATTTTAATATAAAAATAGAAAAAGTTATTTAAAGGACCCCCAAGTACCACTACTTGGCTTTTATACTAATCAACTCATAGACAATGATACTTGGCCCTATCTCTGACTGTTTACCCTTATTCTATTTTGAAACCAATTCCAGATGTTATGTTATTTTACCAGAAAGAATTTCCTTTATTTAAAAAAGCCCTCAATAATGTTATTTTATCTAAAATAAATTGTTGAATATCACTGTATATCTACTTAGTGCTCAAATTTCTAGTTGTCTCTGAAATGCCATTTGTTTTCTTACACTCTATCTCTCTAAATCAGGATCCAAAAATAGTTTACACATTCTGTTTGATAAGATTTTCAAACCTGTATAGATTATTTTCCAACTCTTATCTTTTCCCTTTTTTGTTGGTTGACAAAACCTAGTCATTTGTTTGGTAAAATTTGTAAAATTTGTCATTTGTTTGGTAAAACCTGGTCATTTTGTTTGGTAAAATTTCCAAGTCTGAATTTCATTAATATCATCCCTGAAGTCTCAGTTAACATGCTGTTCTTTCTTCTCCAGTTTCAGTAAATTGATAGTTGGCTCTGGGTACATTTTCCTGTAAACTGGTATATGTTAAGCTTTCCTAATCCAAAAATTCAAAATCTGAAACTTACTGAATGCTTTTAGATTTCAGAGCACTTTGGATTTTCAGATTAAAGATGCTCCACTGGTAAAGACTATGCAAATATTCCCCAATCCAAAAACATATGAAATCTGAAACATGTCAGGTCCCAAGCATTTTGGATAATGGGTGCTTGGCCTGTAGGAAGTTCTAGGGACATTATTGATATTTTCCAGGAAATCTCTTTGTGGGAGTGTTTTCTTCTTCCAAAGGGGATGTATAATAAGTAGTTGTGTCTTTCCTCTCTTTTTTAATGTTAGCAGATATTGATAGTCATTGTCTGGATACAACAATCATTAGGGATTTTAAAAGAGTGATATTCTAATTCATTTATTAATTGGAATGTTTCTTTAAAGAGAGGTCTCTCTTCACCTGCTATTTGATCACTTAGATATATGCTTACATAGGAAAGGCAGGATAAGAGATGTTTTTTTTTCTTTCTATATTTTCAAAATAATGAGTTGGTTCTGTAGCATCCTCTGATGGTGATTGGATTTAAAACAGCATTGAATGTTTGGACACATCCATCAAGAATTAGGCTCCATGTGCCCTCCCCATGAGTCTGGTTGGGCTTGTGAGTGCCTCGAGGGGTCAAATACAGTGGAAGCTGTGCTATGTAATTTTTGAGGCTGGGTCATAAAAAGGACATGCAATGTGTGGGAAATCTGGGCAACACTGATGGTCTCTAATTAATAGGAATTGTAAAAATTCAACTTAAATATCTCTGCTTTTATTCACTCAGTGTCATTTATAAGTATTTGTGGAATCCACAGATACTAAATCCATGGGTGACATGCTGTTAGGTAAAATGGTTGAGAAATGGGCTTAGGAAAGGCACTGTCCTTGGGGTGCTCACAGCTTACTGTTATAGAGGGAGACCCAAGAAGTAAAAATGTTATCACAGTCCGATATAATAAATCCTGGAAGTAAAGCATAAGTAATAATAGCAAAGAGAGATGGGGTGATCAGTAATGGCTTCACAGAGGAGGAAGGAATTGGGATGTGATGTGGCCCCAGGGTGTTCCCATCAGAGGAACTAGCCTGAGGACACATATCCTAGAGAGCCAATGGTGGCACCTTTGAGCAACCCTATACATATAGTGAGTAAAGACAGACATATGGATAAAGGGTAGAAACAGCCCGCTGAGCTGTTGATGGACAGGCCGAGGGAGTGGGGTGAGAGGAGCAGACTGTGCTTTAGAAAGATTGCCTAGGTGTTGGTGGGGAGGCGACCAGACTCTACCACTAGAGGCTGCTGGACAAATCAACACATTGGTGCCGTGTCCAGGTGAAGAAGCGAGGAGACCTGGAAGCCAGAAGCAAGAAAGTGGCAAGGAAGACGGAGGGTGAGTTTCCGTCACTTGGACATAGTGACTCATTGTGAAGGGTAAAGGAGGAGAGGTGTAAATGAACTCTGGGACCTTAGGCAACCAGGTGAAGAATGACTACCTTAAATGACGTAGAAAATAGAAAAGAGAATATTACTAAAGCAATGGACTCGGTTTTACATATTTTGAATTTGTAATTCCTGGAAGATATCTAAGGGAATGTAAAAACAGGCAACGGGAAGTATATATTTAGAGCTCAGGAGACCTCTCTAGGTTGCAGAGATGGTTTAGGGGCCTGTCACATCCTACTTTATTCCATCCTATCATTTGTAGGTAAAAGAGAAAAATAATAGTAGATGGGAGTTCTTAAACAGGAAATGGAATACCAAAATCATGCCAATTAAATTCTCCTTGTGCAATATGAATAATGAAATGCATGCATGCCAGCTATCATCAATGTGTGATAAAATCGCCAGTTCTGGTGATTCCTAATCGCTTCCAAAATAGGAAATCCTACTGCAGAATAATGGAGTGAGATGTAGGTTAAGACGTCTGGTCTTTAGCACCCAGTACTCTCTGTTGGAACCCACTTCTCTATTTTCACACCCATGTCCATCATTGCTTTCATTCAGGATGGAAAGGGCTTATTTTTAGTCATTCAATTCTGCATTTCTTAAAACTATCATATTGATTATATTTCAAAGAAGGAAAATTATGTGAAAA